CACCATCCACTCTTGCTATCCAAGGCTATATGCACTTTTCATTACATTTATCATTATTGCGTAATTCTTGGCATTCTTGGAGAATTTTCGCGAGGATAAACTCTTGGGGAACTCTTTCTTTTTTTACCCCCAAGAAATCTGTGATTCACCACATCCGGATCTCTCCGCTACAGATTAACAGGTCAAGGTTACCCGCAACGCGTAAAGTCACCACCGCGTTTTCCTGTCCTTTCCCTTGAAGTGATGACAGCTCGTAGTATTCCTTCCCTTCCCTCCCCTCGAGAGGCATTTTCTGTACAGCTTCAAGAGTTTTCTATCGCTTCACCTCTTTATGCCTTTTTATGGGAAGCACTGGTGACGCRCGCTGCTAATGGCGCCGCCTCTCACCAATGCGACCCGGGTTCGAGTCCTGAGCTCGATGTCGTATGTGAGTATACACCTAATTCAAAAAAACTTTGTCATCGTAGACAATAGGTGTTTCTGACATAGAAATGGTTTTAAACTAGGTTGAGTTGCTSGTTGGTTTTCCAAGGTATTTCTCCCGCCATTTTTTCCTACTGCAAAAAAACAAACTTTTAAATCAACTTTTAAGTTCTAATTCCGTCCTTCTATCGGCTGCATWATTAAATAGGTCGCAAAAACCACGTGTTAGGCTTTCCGTCCAGCATGGAATAGTAATTCCCATTAGGGCGATGATATGAAACCTGATAATTTTGCGCATATATTTTCATCATTTGATGGCTTTATCAAGACGTACTCACCAGTTTCATTGTTCAACGCAATCTGTAGATAATTCTGCTTGAAAGCATCTATCCCCGCTTTACACGACTCCACATTCCTAACCATCCCTTTTTCAACTCCCATTTTCATGTTCTTAACATACTGTTCAATAGCCACTTTATTGGACACGAGTTTTGTCTTGATAAGCTCAACATCTTTAAGGTTAAAGGGCTTGTGGTAGAGTAWTGCCCCGTAGATATCGTAGCTTATGTAACATATCTGGCTATAACAGAACATATCTGGCCCCAACATCCAGTCTCCATTGTAATAGTTCACCTCATATGGCATTCCAAAAACTTGCTTAAGAAATAACCTGACTTGAACTAAAGCTTTTCTTTCGCGGGCTCTAAGCTTCTCTTTATCAATATCTAAGTTCTTAATCTCCTCCAGAAGCTTCCATGCGATATCTGTATGTTCTTTGATTTTGCTGGGTGTAGGATTATAAGCAGTGTACACGGACTTCACGTGCTCTAAGAATCCTTTCATGTCGGTTGTTTTCCTCTTGTCTGGATTGAACGCAGCTTTGGATTGATGGAGTTCGAAGTAAGTCTTTTTAACTTTGTCTAARAAGTTGTCAAAGCCGCTTCTCTTAGCCTCAGTGGAGTACGCACATTGTTTCTCTTGACCTTCGAGAGGCAGCTTCGACGCTTCTCCACAAGTATTCTTCAAAMTTCCAACCGTAATAAGAGCTATCCCAACAACAGCAAGAATAAACCCGAAAACGAAAAAAGCTATGGCCAATTTTCTTATTTTTCCTGACGATGATCCATAGGAAGGCTGTGACATCTCCATGGTCGAAATAGCTGAGATATTTTAAAACTAGATCAGTTCGGATTTTAAGTAAAGATTATTATCACGCTTGTTTGTGATGAAAACAACGTTGACAAACTGCCATTGATAGGTCGATAATTGGCTAATAGCACAATATTCTGATGTTATCATTCAAAATGTAACTCTGTAGTYGTATGCGATTTAGAAGTCACTGACACGACAAAGACTTCATTGTAGTCAAACGCAGGTCGCAACTGAAACTCAAAATATTCGAATTCTTTTTCCACCGGTAGTTCCGGTAAGCACTTCTAGCTACTACTCTAAGAAACAAAGYTTGAAATCATACCAATACTACTGCAATGATCATATAAATCGGTTTTGAAGCTACAATAATCCTGAACCAAACTTGACACCAACTGCATAGCGYTTCCACCGAGGATTACGAACCGAGGTCCAAATCGCATTATCTTTGTAATTTAACGATTTATAAGTGAAATACAGGCCGGTAATAGACGAAGATACAATCTGCACCTAAGAACTCTCAGCGGGAGCCAATAATTCGCTTTTTTAGCTCAATCTAGAGTGTTTCGTGCCCGGCCGGCTTATCGTCGTCCGCCATTTTTAAAATCATTCGATTTGTTCCCAGACCACCTAGTTAGTTTGACGTCACTGTTTGTCATCCTAACTCCGAAAACAAAGAGTATATGTTCATAACATATATAAAAACAAAGTTGTTTTTATTATTCTAGGTCTCTGGATATTTTTCTTTGCTTTGGTAATGAATCTTAGACACTTTTATTTGTTCTTCAAAGTCGCGTCTTTGAAAGAAAGTTCACTTAAGGTTAATTACGTCTGGATAAAGTTTCTTTTGAGACCAGCCAAAGGGATTATGTAAGGAATCCTTTTGAACTAAGAAAATTTATGTCTTTCAATAATTTTGGTGTTCCCAGAATTTTTACAAGTTAGGAATTCACAAAAGTCATGGCCGCCATGTTGGACGATAGAACAAGAGAGGCCAGCATGGCGGCTATTGTTACACGTAGGCGATTAATTCAAAATGTTGCCACTTCTAGATTTCAAGCGACCTTTGGCTACGAGAACAAATCAATGTTTGCGTCTTTGTTGGCAAGAATTTGAATAAACGTTATTTTGTGTTATTACTAGTTAATTTAAATGCATAAAGCTCAAGACTGGAATGGTGAAGCTATTCATTCGCTTTTAATTAGTTAATTAATTAGCTGTTAGTTATTTTAATTAATCAATTAATTAGTTTATTTTATCAATAGCGCAGCGCAACCGTGACGTCATAAAAACGAAGACAAAGGCGAAATTCGGACAAACAAACTTACAAGTTTACTTTCAGCAGATAATTTTCACAGCCGATCGCAGTTAATCTTAGTTTACATGGGTTATTATTGTAACTTTAAGTAAAAATAATAAAATCGGTTCGTATAATCCTCGTAGCGGTTAAACAGAATGCAATGTTTGTCCGAATCTTTAAGCTATTTYTAGAATCAGTGCGCTGCGCTGTTTATTTATCTAATTAGTTGGTTAATTACTGGCTTTATTCTTGCATTTTATTTTGCTTGCAAGTTTCTTTTTACACGCGGGTTTTGGCCCGTTCAAAATACAGAATTTTTCTATAAAAAATCTTAAAATATATCTGTAAGAACTAAWTCTAAATACTTAAGTGATTTAATTTGGCTTGTGAAAAATAAACAGGCATAATACTTAGCAGACACTAATTCCATTGTTTTTTTCCGTTTTACTTTGACTTTTAGTCACTAATTATACGACTTTGTTGCAAAGACGCGCCAGATAAATTCACTTTAGTAAATGCAGCACTTTGGAATGTAGCTCAATCTGGGGGACAACACAAAATAGGATCCAACAAGAGAAAATGAACTAAGAGAAGGAATCCCCGTGCCCCATCATGTGCACACTTTGATGCTACTTTTAGAATCATTGATGCTATTTCTAACTCGTTACCATACCCGCGCGATAATCATGCTTCCCTTTAATGCCTCGTTTTAGGACACGAAAAGCGCCATATTTCGCTACGTCCACAACAAAAACACAGGYTTTTGTTTACTGCAAGACTGGAAGCCGCCTACCCTCAAGAAATCAACCAATCAGGTTCTTCACTCAAAATATCTCCAAGCAAAAATAGCATCAAACTGTGCACATGATGGTTACAAGGCTATATAGGTAGGATTCCTTCTCTTAGTTCATATTCTCTTGGATCCAATTCTCAGGATTGAAATTCTTTTGTTTTYCCCCCCAGATGGAGCCGCTTTGACGTCACATGCAAAGGGTCTATATTTATGAGTACGAAGAGCACGACTTTTATCGACTAAACGTATTAAAGTTACGTGTTAAAAACATTTTCTTTTATTAGACCCATTGATGGATTGCAAGCATTCCCAAGAGAGTCAAAAGACAAAAGCAAGACGGCCATTGCGTTGCCGTTAACAATGTATGCTAATGAGAAATCTTTTGTTAAATGGTACCAACATGGCCKCGATGACGTAACTTATTTAACATGCATTGAATCTTTTGGTACGATATTTAAAATAATCAGACATTAAACACTGTTCAGAGATTCGCATTTAAGAGAAGAATGTCTAAATTGTGCGGTCGGTAGGTTCGAAGGAGTTTCGATTTGGTTTACGGAGACCAAATTATGATTTGAAAATACTCCCATTTCGAGTTCGCCTTTGCTCAGTCTTAGCCTCGATAGACCTCCTTGGCTTGGACGTAATGTTGTCCAATTTCAGACCACGTTTTATTTACCTTGACAATGAGATTCTTTGTTTGAGTTGTATCCATATTCATGTGTCTTCTTATGTGCAACCAAGCGCAAACCTTAAACAAAGAAAGGATACTCTAGGGAATGACACGTGGTCTGAAATGGGAAAACACTACGTCCGAGCCGAGGAGGTCTATTATGTACAAATGTTGAAGGCCCATTGTATAGTAAGTAATATACGTAGTACGGAGTAATACGAATTGATTAAATTACCACGTGTTTTGTTTGAATAGCTGAATATTATAACGCACAAACAAGACTAAGGCCCCGTCCACACGTATCCGGAAATTTTTGTGTCCGTATCCGCAAATTTTACGRAAACGGATACGTGTGGACGGTGAAAACGATTCGAATACGCTGTGTGTGGACGCAAACATTTTCGTATCCGCAAAAAAAWAATTTGCGGATACAAAAATTTCCGGATACGTGTGGACGGGGCCTAAGATTGAGCAAAGAGAACTCGAAACTGGATGCGAAGTGTTGGAGAACAACTCGTTCCAAGTAAAAAATACTACCGTTTTTCCATTTCTTTCCACGTGTTCTTCTCTAGAAAATCATTTCTTTAACGGTTGCGCGTAAAAAGACGCAACAATGCTATACAACTCAAAAAATAAATCTCATTCTCAAKAGAATGACACGTGGTCTGTAATGGGAAAACATTACATCCAAGGTAACAAGGTCTATTAATTTTTAATGATTCAGTATGGGTACCACAGGCAAACTCTTTGGTTCCGAGAAAACGAGAGTACGAATAGGCCATTTCACGGATCCCATTACTCAACCTCAGCTTCGTCAGCGTGTAATTATTCTTTAGAATTTGACTACAGTCCRCAGTAATGAAAGGAATTTACACATCAACGAACAATTGAAACACTTGAAAATTTCACAAGTTGTAGGCAATTTCTAAAGAMAGTCGAGAGACAGTCCTGAGTGATCAATTTATTTCACTTGCAGGAATGCGATTTGAGTTTAGCGCCATAAAAATTTTAACGCTAATTTTTAATGTTTGGCGTGTAGTTGTAATTTATTTAACGGCTAAAAAAGTTGGTAAATTTGGGGACTTCTTATAATAGGTCACGTGATCTATCCCTAAATATAAAACTAAATATGTTATTAGGAATTTCATAACAATATGCGCTGCGCAGCAACCTCTTGCCATTCAACACATTTTCACAACCAATTTTATATCCTTAAATTGCCATTCCCGACTCCCATCTTCTGTATCATGACCTGAAAGTTCGCATTCGAGATGGTCYTCCTCTTTCTGGGATTCGTTTGAATACAAAGTGACCCAGGAGTGCAAGTTCCTAATTCCTTAAATTGCATCTTTCTTTGGATTTGTTGCGTTTCAGATTTCCTTGTTCCTTTTGAGCTTCGAATTACATTAATAAAATAATTCAAAATATTTGTAACAATTTTCAGAATTTCCTATGAATTTCAGCTTTCCTTATTTAGAATCTTCTGTAGCGGTTTATCGTACAGCCAATGACCTCCTACWTCGTGGAATAACTAAAAGATTAAGAGAAAAAGTTAACAAAATTAAACTTGTAGAACAACCTCTATTGGGCAACCACCTACTAAACAGYCAACCTCTCTACAACGGCCAGCTGGCAAGTCTCAAAGAAGGTCTTTACACAACAAATGGATCGTATTCTCTTTTTGGATCTGTTTTGCTACCCTTTTGATAGGTACTAAGGATTTTTGTATCCCCTTGGCGTACCACAGAGATCTGTTTTGGTTCCCTTTTACTACGTGCCAATACCAAGGATATTTGTATACCCAGGTGTACCACAGMGGTCTATTTGGGTCCCCTTCTAATAAGCACAAAGGATATCTGCATACCCATGGCATACCCCAGAGGTCTGTTTTGGTCCCCTTTTAATAAGTATCAAGGATATTTCTATACCAAGGTGTACCACAGTGTTCTAGGTTGGTCCCTTTCCAACAAAGACAAATAATATCTGTATACKTAGGCGTGCCTCAAAGGTCTTTTTTTGGTCCCCTTCTATATCTGTATACCGAGGCGTGCCATGGCGGTCTATATAGTTCCCCTTCTTAAAAGATATGCTTACTATACCTTGGTTTCCCAATTTAATCCTTTTTCTTTTCTTTCTCTTGCTTCTGCTCTTTGCCTTTCCTCGAGCTAAGTAATAATTGAACGTTTTGGTTAGGCTTGGTTAGGTTTTGAAATGTCTCGATCGTTTAAAAGCATATTACCTTGTGTTTGCTTTCTGTCGCTTTATCTACGTTGGAATGTTTCAAGTTATAAGTCACATCTTTCCACAATCTAAAAAAATAACAAACAGAAAGTTTGAATCTAAGAGGAAGGAGGAAGAAACGGCACGTGGAATACACGTGGAATGCATGTGGAAAGCACGTGGAATGCTCATGGAATACACGTGGAA